GATGCAAGATTTATGTTATTTCTTGATTGTTTCATCCTCAAAATAGAGAATAATACTCTAAAACCCCTTTCCCTCTCATACGCACACACTCTCTCCGTCGATCCTAAGCTTCATCAAGACGAGCCATCTTCTTCTCTTTGCAATTTCTTGGCCTTTAGCCTATTACCTTCGCATAAAAGGTATAAAACTCATCGAATTAGTTTACTGTGTTATGCTTTGATATGACGTTGGAAGATTATTACTCTACCTCTGATCCCTTACATTACAGAATGCTACACTAAGGAACATTGCACATCTAGCCGACGACCTCTCAAATTTAGTGTTGAAGTCCAGCCCCATTAGTATACTTTGGCAGTTTATGCTAATCATGATCGACTATTATCATATGGATGATGAGGTTAATCATCATCCACTTCTATGCATTCCAGCTCACGTGGGAGATGATCAACACGAACATCATCCACGTCTATGCATTCCAGCATGTTGGAGATGATCAACAGTTGTTCATGACTCGTGGAGTTGATAGAGCATAAATGCTTGATGCAACTGATGACGTTGATGATCCACCTTCCGATCACGAAGCTGAAGTAGATCTTGTTGGATTTCTCGTGGTTTGGCCAAACATGCTCCATGTGCACTGATGTACAACAGTTGTCTCTCGTAACAAGCAATAACATCGCTACTGAAAGTTAACTTTCAGTTTGTAGTGTTCATTTTGTTGGAAAAAATTAGGCGAATGACTGACTTTGGCATAAATTTTGAGTGAGACTCGTTTGCTTATTTTGGAAGATCAACATTGATTTGTGTTCTTCTTCGCGAGAATATAGAAATCATGTATTTACTTGCCAAAAATGAAGCTGAGTGAATGAGAAATTGAAGTTCAAAGTGGACCATTGGAATATGGTTTATGTTGGAGAGAGAACTAAATTTGAATTTATTCTACATAGGAAGTTTATGAAAGCAAGAACCACGTGCATGCGCAGATGAGTGCAAATCACGGACCGAAATATGCTTCGATCCTTGGACTTGTGTGCGGACGTGACCTTTGTACAAGAATATTGGATCGAATTGACCAAAAATTGGCTCCTTATGATAGCCTATATTTTGCCTTATTTTTGCTTTCAACAACTGACTTTTGATTTCTGAAATTGCTAAAACTCCAATAATTATTGTCATTAACGTTTGAAACTCCAATGGTTATTATCATTGGGGTTAAGTCTATATGAAGCCTCGTTTTTTCACTATTCCAGATATGAAGAATACATTGCCTAGATTACAGTTCCAAAACACACGAAAAATCTTTATTTACATGCAAAATTGTTCTCTGTCTACATACATAATTTATTGTCTATCAAGGTCTTGGTGGTGATATTATTCAGATACTAAGTCAGTTCGTCGGAATAGAATCTGAAGTGCTCGAACTCTACTAATTTATCGTTGTATCCTGGGAAACGGACGCTTAAATAAATCTTAAGTACCCACGATGAGGGGGTGAATCTGTTTTAAGGAAATTGTGCTCACATAGGGCCCAGTTTTTAAAATTCAATTGAATTTTTATTATCTGCTATTGAGATTATTTGTTCTATTTTATCGTAATTTATGAAACTTATTTTGTTTTTTGTGATTAGCAAATTATTTAATCTGTTATATCTTAATTATTATTCGGTAAGTTATTATCTACACGGCAAACTGCATGTCCGATATGTTAGTTACATATACAATATGCTAATTGTATATCCAGTAAGTTGCATATCCGATATGTGTTGTAAATCCGGTATTCGTTTACGAATATTTTTTCTAACACGTTTTTCCGATTATTGGTGCTATGATTTTTGTGATTTCTTTCATCATACAGGCAATTCAGACTACCAGTTTCGTGTAGGGTTCATAGTTTGAAAAAGTTGTTTCCTTATATATATATATATATATATTTTAATCCCTCCCATACGAGGCCCTAATCGCACCTTGATTGCTGGGGTGGGGTTCGGCCTCCGAGGATGAGATTCTACATACGGCTAGGGAAAACTTGAGAAAGTTTAGGAGAGACGGAAAAGCTAGCTGTTGCCGATCAAGAATAGCTTGCTTCTTCACCAGCTTTTCGTTTCTTCAAAGAGAGAGAGAGAGAGAGAGAGAGAAAAGAAAAAAGTCGTCATTGCTGTGCTAGCTATCCAAGTTCTTTCTATTCCATCACATTCCGGAATCACTGAACAACTCGTGCCTCATGTTAAAAAACACTTTTAAGTAGGTTGGATGCAAGATTTATGTTATTTCTTGATTGTTTCATCCTCAAAATAGAGAATAATACTCTAAAACCCCTTTCCCTCTCATACGCACACACTCTCTCCGTCGATCCTAAGCTTCATCAAGACGAGCCATCAAGAAGAGAAACGTTAAAGAACCGGCTTAGCCTATTACCTTCGCATAAAAGGTATAAAACTCATCGAATTAGTTTACTGTGTTATGCTTTGATATGACGTTGGAAGATTATTACTCTACCTCCGATCCCTTACATTACAGAATGCTACACTAAGGAACATTGCACATCTAGCCGACGGCCTCTCAAATTTAGTGTTGAAGTCCAGCCCCATTAGTATACTTTGGCAGTTTATGCTAATCATGATCGACTATTATCCTATGGACGACGAGGTTAATCACCATCTACTTCTATGCATTCCAGCTCACGTGGGAGATGATCAACACGAACATCATCCACGTCTATGCATTCCAGCACGTTGGAGATGATCAACAGTCGTTCATGGCTCGTGGAGTTGATAGAGCATAAATGCTTGATGCAACTGATGACGTTGATGATCCACCTTTTGATCACGAAGCTGAAGTAGATGCTTGTCGGATTTCTCGTGGTTTGGCCAAACATGCTCCATGTGCACTGATGTACAACAGTTGTCTCTCGTAACAAGCAATAACGTCGCTACTGAAAGTTAACTTTCAGTTTGTAGTGTTCGTTTTGTTGGAAAAAATGAGGCCAATGGCTGATTTTGGCATAAATTTTGAGCGAGACTCGTTTGCTTATTTTGGAAGATCAACATTGATTTGTGTTCTTCTTTGCGAGAATATAGAAATCATGTATTTACTTGCCAAAAATGAAGTTGAGTGAATGAGAAATTGAAGTTCAAAGTAGAGCATTGGAATATGGTTTATGTTGGAGAGAGAACTAAATTTGAGTTTATCCTACATAGGAAGTTTATAAAAGCAAGAACCACGTGCATGCGCAGATGAGTGCAAATCACGGACCGAAATATGCTTCGATCCTTGAATTTGTGTGCGGACGTGACCTTTGTACAAGAATATTGGATCGAATTGACCAAAAATTGGCTCCTTATGATGGCTTATATTTTGCCTTTTTTTTGTTTTCAACAACTGACTTTTAGTTTCTGAAATTGCTAAAACTCCAATAATTATTGTCATTAACGTTTGAAACTTCAATGGTTATTATCATTGGGGTTAAGTCTATATGAAGCCTCGTTTTTCCACTATTCCAAATATGAGGAATACATTGCCTGGATTATAGTTCCAAAACACACGAAAAATCTTTGTCTACATGCGAAATTGTTCTCTGTCTGCATACATAATTTATTGTCTACCAAGGTCTTGGTGGTGATATTATTCAGATACTAAGTCAGTTCGTTGGAATAGAATCTGAAGTGCTCGAACTCTACTAATTTATCGTTGTATCCTGGGAAACAGAAGCTTAAATAAATCTTAAGCACCCACAATGAGGTGATGAATCTGTTTTAAGGAAATTGTGCTCACATAGGGCCCAGTTTTTAAAATTCAATTGAATTTTTATTATCTGCTATTGAGATTATTTTATCGTAATTTATAAAACTTATTTTGTTTTTTGTGATTAGCAAATTATTTAATCTGTTATATCTTAATTATTATTCGGTAAGTTATTATCAACACGGTAAACTGCATGTCCGATATGTTAGTTACATATACAATATGCTAATTGTATATCCAATAAGTTGCATATCCGATATGTGTTGTAAATCCGATATTCGTTTACGAATATTTTATCTAACACGTTTTTGCGATTATTGGTGCTATGATTTTTGTGATTTCTTTCATCATACAGGCAATTCAGACTACCAGTTTCGTGTAGGGTTCATAGTTTGAAAAAGTTGTTTCCTTATATATATATATATATATATATATTCACACCGCAGATGGATGGTGCTTTTAAAATAACTCATTTTCAATTTGATCGGAAAAAAAGTTGCTTATTTTTAATCTACTTATCAAATAGCAAAACTGTCAAATCAAATGCAGGGGTTGATCTCAATCCAGAAATATAAAATTGTCTTTTTACTTCTATCAACATTCAACAACACCAAGACAATTACAAGGAAACACTGTTAAGCCTATTTTACATAAAGAAATCAATAAGAACACCCAGTCTCCAAGAACAAGTACTTTCTTGTAATATTCCTACCAAAATTGATCCAAGACACGATGATTGCTGTTCATCGCATCTAAATTGTTACCTCAACACATGCCAATACCAGAAGCCTCTAATTCTACAAACCTGTTCAAAAAAGTTTCTGCCTACCGAGCAATTGGCGCCCCTGTATACTGTCCCATAAACCGACTTTGTTAATAAATACAATGGACTGCTCAGTAAGAAAATAGTGTATATGGTGAAGTTTATAGTAACTTTTAAGCTAGGGAAGCGTGCTCAGTATATACGGGAATAATGTCGAGAACAAGAACGGAAGGAACTGAACAGCTGCAGGAAGTGTACCATTTGAATTCTTCAATCGCTGCCAAATTCCTCATAACTCTAGCCCTCTGATACTGTATCCAGCCTCTCAATATCTGGTCACAAGTAGGTTATTGAAATTAGTTATATCATCGATATTCCAAAAGTAACAATGTTGAATATCATAACCTTTACCTTGAAGTTCTCCCAGAATACTAGGATCCATGAAGCTTGTATCCGTTCCAAGAAAGGGAGATCTAGAATAGCTCTCTAAAATATCTGAAAAGGGTAAATCATACAAGTCATAAATATGAAAAATAAAATACCCATGTACTGAAAAACCCTGGAGTTCCCTAGATTCACAGTAATATGTTTGGTAAGCTTAGAAGTTACTCTTAAGTAACTTTTTTATTTGAAAAACATGTTCGAGCTCTTCTAGAAGTTACTTTTTTTCTTGAGATTTTTAGTTCAAAAGCTAACTTTTTCAAAAGTCTTTACTTTACAAAAATGTACTACTTTTATTCAGCTTAGGAAACATACTTAAAGACTGTCAAGCCATTGAATTTACACACACATATCTCGTGCATGCGCCTCAGTGTGGAGAGAGAGAGAGAGAGAGAGAGAGAGAGAGAGAGCACTAACCCGTACTATTTGAGAAATCGGCTGTCAAGTCAGAAAAACTTATGTTTCTGGGAATCTGTCTCAAGAATCCAAATGAATTCAGCTCAGGGTCCAAGATAGTCTCATTTATCGGCAGTGAAACCGAATCTACACTACTGAAAGGAGAAAAAGATGCATCCCCTATATTTTGAAGAGCTTCTTGAAGATTTCTTTCAGCACCGAACATGAACAAGGAATCACCTGTATGCTCACATTCTGATTTAATAATCTCATCATTCATTCCTTGTGTCCACTCTGCATTTGAGCTCTGAGCCAATAGCACGTTTTCTGATATATCAATATTTCCAGTATGAGCTGCCCTATTGGCCACAACTTGTACCTGTGGTTGTAGGGTTGTTCCACTTGCAATATCAGTGTAAGCATTAGGTACGGTTAAAATAGCTTGGTACATGTTTTCTTGCCTCGGAGAAGGTCCACGTTCCAGGGAATGATATTCTGAGTTATTGTGCACTGCCAAAATATAATAGCGACAATTTTCTTTCAAGTCAAACTAGTTACATAATTGCGGATAAAATGATAACACAGATCGAAAAAGCACTATGAGATTTATCCCAGTTCAGCAATAAAACATATTTTCAATCTCCACAGTCAAGAATTTGAGCATGTATAAAATTTCTCGGGCTACATTATGGGGTACATATGAAATGGAATGTTAAATCTATTTATGTTTTTTTCACCATCATCGAGTGAAAAGGAATGTCATAAGATTGCAGTCAAGCAGCAGTCTATCCATCAAATATGTTTTTTGGACCATGCTACACTCACAAAACAGGCGCCCCTCCAATGGTGGGGCACCAAGTGGCGAGTTGGTAAAACATTTTGTACATCAATAAAAGTCCATGTTTTTTATACGTGTCCTTTTTCACATACATAAGCGTATGTGTAAAGAACGATAGTTCCCCTCTATGTAGACTAAGCTTTAGATGTGTCAAAAAGCTTACTTATCTGAGATTCATTGGACAAAGGAACGAGACAAACTTCAGTCGGACATATTTGGTGGATTAGCTCAACATGTCTCTCAAGCAAGTCATTGAATTGCAAAATATGGTCCTTCACCAATAACCTCAGATGATATGCCTTGAAAAATTCCTGATTTTCTGCTTCGAGTTTTTGCCACACTGGAAAAACATCCAGATATTTTAATCATAAGTTTCAAAACATAACAAAATTAAGAGGGTAGGGAACAACAAATCAAATTGATTTCCATAGGGTCATATGTTCGATTAGTATATGTGATGGAATTTTCCTTTTTAACATTTTTTTCCTTTTTTTACTATTTATTGGATAACTATGGAGATGCACTTTGAAATCTGAGTGTGTGTTTGGTACGTAGTATTGGATATTGGATGCCTTTGAACGATATAGTGGATAAGATTTTAGTGCTATTTATTCCAACCTACCAAACATGACATTAGGGTTTCAGTTTAATTTGAACTAAGTTATTATATGACAGGCTAATGGTGAAAATCACTACCTCCAAAGAATACAAGAAAGCCTAATCAAGAAATTGACATTACCGAGTTCAGTGAAACTGGGCTCGATTTTTGCATGGTATAAGAGGGTATTCACAACTTCCTTCTGGCTCATGTAAAGCTGAAGACACCTTTTTATAAGATCTTGAACCTGATATTAGAGAAAATGTAAGGTCGGCAATCCTGACGGCAAATATTTACAAACATGGACGAGATAAAACATAGTTATAGCTGCTTATTGCATGGGATAGCTTTTCAATGATGTCACTAGAAAATGCCAATACCTACAGAGAAACCATCATTTTCTGCAAGATCAGTGTTGAGAGTTAAATTCACAAATCATTCTGCATTTCTTTTAAATAGCAGCATTATCAATGAAGTAAAGTAAAATTTAAGATTCCAAATCGAAAAAAATAAATAAAAAAATTTAACATCCTCTATTTGAATCAAATTGTGACCATATTCTATGCGAGTTATTACTTAGTAACCTTTTAATTACTCGTCCGCTATATTATCAACTTTTAGGTAAAAAATAAAAGAAAAAAATAAAACTATTCGTCCATCTACTGCCTCAATTTTAAACCATTCATGCACAAAATAAGCTGCTTAAAGAGAAGATGTGTTACTCAATGGACTACGACTTTGACATCCTCAAGGGGACTAATACAATTACTTTACCAATCATTTTAGTTTTCCAGTCTTCCTAATAAATCACTCTTCAAATTATTACTAATGTACCCATGAAACAGGTATTTAAAAAATACGTCGTCTTACACGATTTTTACTGGAACCCCAAGTTTGGATAAGAAAATAATAACAGATTTTGTAGCACAGCAATTTATTATTTGCGCATTATGAATAACTATCAGAACAAGGTCTTTATGGTAACACGATCCAAGTTAGATTTTTCGTATAGAGTAAAAGAGATTATGGATTGAACTTCAGTGTTAATGTGATCTGTCGTACGATAGTTTCTATGCAAGTATTATCAAGAATTTCATGATTTCTGTTGACCTCGAAACACGTAACGAAAACGTGGATAACAGATGCCGGACCCACTCACACCAACTCAAGCAAGTTTTGGAGCGTTTTGATCAGAGGACTGGTGAGAGAAGGAGAACACGCGAACGCGAGAGATGCTTTACGGTGCGAGACAAAGGTGTTCGAGCACCGACTGTAATGACTAAAATGATTAACAACGGGTCAGTCGTCCTATACATTAGGCTGACATACCTGACATTCTTTATTACAAACGTTAACAACCAATTATTTGACGAGTTCTAGTCTTTCTTATCTTTTCCTAAATGTAATGTCGAACTCCAAATTCACTATCTATGTTTATATTCAAAAAAATTTGCAAATACATTCTATATCTTCCCGAATAACAGAGTCACATTTACTAGAATCAAAATCAGACCACGTTTTAATAATAATCATGCTACATGAACATAATCATTGATATATTGCCACATGACAACCTATCATTGAACTGTTTAAAACAATGTCATCTTTTTCAACTAATCACATCTTGCCAACACTTATTTTGTCAACTATTATGTCACATTTTTGGGACAAAGTAACATTATTCTATTAAGATGCTTGATGTACACTCTTTGGTGTACATTATGTATGACATTCCTCTCATAAAAGTGGGGTCCCGCAATTTAAAAAATCATGGGCTCCACACTTTTTTTTAGGGGAGTGTCAAAGTTAATGTACATAAAAGTGTACAAATGGGATTACTCTTCTTTTAATAAATTGTACAACTGAAGCCACAACTTACCAGCTGTATTTCTTGAACTGAGACTTTTCGAAGTTCTCCAGAAGACATTTCACGTTTTCCAAGAAGATGAAATATACTTGAGGGGGTTAGTTTTCGTACCACAATACCACCTGAAATGATTGCATATACTCGATTATTGTCAGCAAAATTTAAGAAAAATGGAGGAAAAGGAAGCGGCAGAAGGGAAATAAGTACAAAAATAAAATCTGTCCCCTTCAAGTTTTACGAAAATAAGTACATTTTTAGATGGATATTTCAATGTAGATTTCTTTCTGATTTTGGTACCCTATGTTCCACCCCATAAAATCCCAAAAAATGACCTTCAAACTTCCCTCTCCCTTTATCTTCATCCATGGCCGCTGGCACTGAAGTCCTAGATATAAGATATCCCAATCTAAACAAACCACCAGCAAGATCATGTTTGGCTAAGCTTAAAAGGTTCACTTATAAGTAAAGAATTGAGCTTTAGATTAGTACTTTTTTATTGATTGAAAATGAATATTTTGACAGTAAGCTATACTAGAAACCTCAATACAACTACAGGCCATGCCTACTGGGAATTATTCTTAACCAATCGCACCATCTTTTCCATTCAAAAAAGAAACTTTTCACCTCTTAGTTATGCATCCATAGGTAAAGAACAAAACAACTCTTCCCTTCTAGTTCTTTGACTCTTACAACATTTTTTAAATCACTTTTCTACTTATTTTCCAAAAAACAAAGAAACTTTTAAGCTAAACCAAACATTCCACATGAACAAAGCTTAAGATCACCCAAAAATTCGACAAAACAAATTATAACCAGTTAATCTTAACCTATTATTACCCAAAAAATTACTTAACAGAAAGATCAGAAAAAATCAGAATATATAAACACCGTAGCATGATAAATTTTCATGTAATTTAGATACTTGAAGATAATATTTTTCTTGATCAAAATATTTTCTTTACCTGATATTCCGCTGGGATTTCAGAAAGCTTCTTTCGGTCGCAAAAGAAGGAATTTCTTGAGGGAGAATATTTTGTAGAGAGAGAAAGTGATGTGCTTGTCAGAGTCTGCGTTTCCAAGTAATTTTTTTACTAAGCCGACGTTTTATTTTCAAAAAAGTAATTCTCATAGTTAAAAGAGTATTTTCAAGACATCCACTAATTTAAAAATAGCTATCTTTAAGTCCCATTTTTCAAAAATTTGCTTTTTCTCAAATTTATTTTTAGTTAATATTTTCTAATAAAATAATTTTGCACGCACACCATATTTTTTCCAAAGAAATCACCATGACAAAACTAATTTTTTACAGAAAAATCTCAAACATAGCCATTATTAGGAAAATGATAACAAAATGTCAAAATTTTGTATTGTCACTTTTGTGTACTGCTCATACATAACGATGTACAACCCATTGATGCACAGTATGCTCTAGCCATGGACCGAGATTCTCCTTATTATCTTGTCGTGGCTTTTTTTGTTGGCCGCCTTTTTTCCTCGATCACTTGTTCTACTGGCAAATTGTTCATCTATCTTTATTATAGTTGCACATCAATTTTGAACAGTAACAAAATCTAAATTTCAGTTAAATTATGTGATCTTCAAGTGAGAAGCTAGATTTTATTTCTCAATTTGGGCATGTTTCCAAGGGGGTTGATGACGATTTATAAAAAATTTGAACTCTGCCAATTATCAGAGGCTTATTGTGCAATTGCATCCTCCGTGCTTAGTTCCCAGTGCTTTGCTAGTAAGCTAGAGGCTTGCTTGCTACATCGGAGTCGTACCTGCATCAGTCTCCTAGTTGTTTTCAAATCAAATAAATTATTATTTATGCATAATTAGTTTTTTCTTTTGATAACCGTGGATGTTCGGGTCAGCTTACGCTTACCTCGACTAATTTCACGGGGCCCTGAAGTTTACGGCCGGGTACTCATCTCAGTGGCCCTGAGGAAACTCGAACTGGTGACCATTGGGGAGCAAACCCAATGCCTGACCAATTGAGCAATCCCTCAGGATTATTTATGCATAATTAGTTGGAGCAAAAAAAGGGGCGGGGGCCCCCTAGCGGAACCACGAGGACTAGAAGACGAGAATGTTCGTCTACGCCAGACATACCAAATTCCATAGAAGACGCATAAACATGGGAAAAAAAATTTTGAACCTAAAATGAGAAAGTGAATAAGGTCAAGAAAATTGAAAACCACTTAAAATTCAACTGGTACTAAGCTGCTGAGATTTTTCAGTTAGCAAAAGAAAATTGAATTAAATTTTCTCGTGTATATGTTCACAGATTCTTTCATCACATTACAATAGAATCCATAATTATCTCCTCTTAATCTCGTATTAACATGGACTAAAAAGTAAAGTAAAAAAATAAAAAATAAAAAACCACGAAAAAATTACTATTCATTGGTTTGGATCAGTTTAGGAGCCTGAGCTGGTGAAATAGTCTTTTTCTCTGTCGACCTCTGTTTCTTGCTGATGCCTTAGGCCTTGCTTCGATCTGTCAATTGACGTTTAAATAGAGTGGTCTCTGTTCATTAGGCGACGAATCTCGTTCCAACAGGGTTTGAGCAAATATATAATCCAGTGATCCGCATGTAGCGTCATTCTTTATTTGCCTTCGATAACTGATATAATTAATTTCCCTCTGATAAGTATGCAGAGATTAATTGGAAACCAAAGTAAGGTCACTGTATCTAGGCCTTGTTCTGTCTGGTCCAATCCATGAGTCATTATACTCCACGGATTAACGCGATCCACCAATTGACAGTTAAATAGAGTGGTCTCTGTTCATTAGGCGACGAATCTCGTTCCAACAGGGTTTGAGCAAATATATAATCCAGTGATCCGCATGTAGCGTCATTCTTTATTTGCCTTCGATAACTGATATAATTAATTTCCCTCTGATAAGTATGCAGAGATTAATTGGAAACCAAAGTAAGGTCACTGTATCTAGGCCTTGTTCTGTCTGGAGAAATCCCTTCATCAATAGCCTTCCTCTTGTTATTATTATTGGATTGTGCTGCTGTCTGTAGTTGAATTTCTGGAGATTCTTTATTTTCTTGAGTTTCTTGATTTTGAATATTTTTGCAGCATTTGGTTCTCATCAGATGGAGCTTATTTACATCTGATAATCTCACTGGTTTGAGGAAAAACTCTTCTGCTCCTTCCTCCAAGCATCTGTAATGAAAATTTAGTCCAAATATGAAAACCTGGAAAGTTTCGAAATCAACTCGAAAATAGGTTGAGGACATGTTATGGGGATATTGAGTGTTGTCAAATTTCGGCGAAAACGGTAATTTTTCTACATTTAATGGCATGTATAGTTATTAAAAAACAGACTTCAAACTAATACGCGTGTTTGGTAGAGTAGATTAAACAATAATGAACTGCATTAAGGAAAATATAAATATGATGTCTATACAGGAATATACATATTCACCCTTACCTGCTGATTCTTGAAGGAACATCCTCAGATGACATTATGACTACTGGTATGTTCTTCAGAGATGATGATTCCTGTCAAGAAAAGGAAGCCCATAAATTCATTTAACCTGCTTTTAATGTCAAAACTATTTTCTTTTTACTTTATAGGGTGTAAATTAGTAAAAAGAAAACCTAACTAGCACGTGTAAACTTTTAATAACAGAGCAATATATTTTCATTCAGATCTCGTCCGAAGACCGTCACGTCACTGTAGGGTGGATTCATTTTTAGCCAATGAAAATATAAAAGTTTATCCTATTTGATAGGGCAACATACTTTAGTTCTTTACTTCAATAAGGACGGATACTCGATATTATATAGGATTCATAGCACAATTTAATAAAGTTTGAGGTCGTCTCTTCTCTATTATTATCCGATCCAACTTACTGAACAATCAATTGGGGTAAGCTACGCATGCGGAATTAAATGCCTTTCAGTTATCTGATTAATTGCTCGTATTAGGTGGTATTTTTTTAAAAGAAGTGATAAAGGTCTTATTGGAATGCAGGAAAAGGACTCATGTGGGCAAGCTTTTCGGAATTACATCCATCTGAAAATAATACATACTGAATTGAGAAAGTTTTGTCAGAGGCATATTTTCCATGGAAGGAAATTCATCAGTCCAAGAATATATACCTTAATTTTCTTGAGCAAATCATAGCCAGACATCCCAGGCATACAATAGTCTGTAATAACAAGATTCACTTCCACTTCCTGCATGTAAACAATTTTTTATTTGGAATTTTCAGACAAGAAAACCCAAGGAAGTATGATCAGTGGGTTGGGGTGGGGTGGGGTGGCGTGCAGGGGTGATGAAAATATAAAAGCAAATTTACCTGATGAAGTTTCGGAGAAACAGAAGTTTCATTAGGGGTAATTCGGTCATTTTCATGCAAACCCAGAAACTCCAGAGCTTTGCTACCAGAATCTACGGTAGTAACTGCCATCATTAAATCACCAAGCCCAACATATGAATCAGTCAAAACCAACATCTAAGAAAAATAAATACTGAAAATCAAGACTTTAGGAAATTAAAATCTTGCCAAAATGAAACCGCATAATCTTTGATTATCCTGTATAAAGCCATGAACAAATGCACTGAACCTAGAAAAATGGTTCATTCAAATCAAGATTTCAGCTTTACGGGTTTTTTTTTTTAAATCAGAATTTGACACCTGCACAATTTTCATAAATAAGTAACGGATGCTTGAACTTGACAGGTTTTGGTCTCACATTAATCATCTCAACAACGTATACTCATTTAAATATTTATTTTGTATCGTAATAGAAAACTAAGATCTTGAAAAGTGAAATACCCATAATCCAAATTCCTCTGTGTTATTACCTTGATATGAAGAGGTTTTGAGCAGCCTCTCAATGAGCTTTCTGTCAATTATACTATCATCAACAGCTAAAACATGAAACTGTGACTCTTCAACTGCCATTCCCATTGCACCAATGCAGTATAATTCAGAAAATGATGCACGAAAAATCCTTTTCCTTTATGGGCTTTTTATCTGGTCTGTGTTTGTTTTTCTATGAATTGAGAAGAGAGGAGGAGAAGAAATTTGCATCGAAATTAGACCCACAAAAATCCATTAAAATTTGGACGGATTTCAATGAAGGAAAGACTTCTCAAATTTTCCATTTCGGGATTGAATTTTTCAAGGCCATTAACAAAAATGTGCGCCAGAAATAGAATACGAATCCTGAACATGGGCTTCTATATTGGTATTGATTCTATGGAGTTGGGGTTACATATAAATGGGAAAAAAATTCCACCGTTGGTCCTTCATTTATTGTCTCAGGAGCAAATTAGTCATGTCCCTTTCATTTTTGTTACACAATTGGGTCCCAGCGACAAAAATCGTTTACATCTTAGCCTTTATTTGGTTTAGATAAAAATTAATTTTTGATAGATTACGATAGAAGTTATTGAAATTTATAGTTGAAAAATTATTAGTCTCATAAAATATATAGTTAAAATTAACTTTTGATATTGACTTGAGTAATGTTATTCATCCTCAGTGAGGATGAAAACAAAGTTTAGGTGCCTTTATATGATAGGTTAAATGAAATGTGAAATTAAATGACTTATTTAATTTCACATATCATTTAATGCTACACTAACGTCATGTATACTGTGTTTTTATCCCCAATGGGGATGAATAGCATTACTCTATTGACTTAGATTTTAGTTCATTTTTTTTAATTGAACCAAACAATGGTTTAAATTGTCATATTCCTATCATGCAAAAAGTGTCTAATGTCAAATTTTTGTGCAAGAACCCAAATTGTGATATAGAATTCTGCCAGAGCTACATAAAAATTTAACAAAGATTTAGATGCTTTTTGATATGGTAGATTATTGTCACGGATGATTATTCGCCCTCTTAGCATTTCATTTGTGAAAGGGTCTAGACTATATCAACTAAGAGATAATGGAATAAAATACAAACAAGATTCGAGCATGTCGTCGAGACAAGGTACCATTACATATGGATCTCCACTAACTACGATAGTACTTCATATGAGCTCTTGAGCTACACCACAATCAAATAAAAGAAAATATATTTCTAAATTTCTCTATTAAATAATCAATTCTATTGTCAGTACTAACTTGAGCATCGGACATGGTATAAGAATTACCCCACATCTCTTATTACAGATATTGCTAGAGAAAGGAGAAAGAAACCAACCAAAGAAAGGAGGAAGTGCTAATAATGTTGACATTTTAAAATGAAATTTCAAATTTTAGTATGGTATTACAATTCATTAAATCAAAATCGCTCGATCTGAGTAAGAATCAAATAGGTCCACAAATTTTCAAATTAATATTCTCAAACGATCCATCATGTTGCTGAACCTGTTAAGGAATAAATATATATTGGTTAAATATAGAAAAATTAACCAACGTATAAGAGTTTGGATTACTCCTCTTAATAATGTTGATTTTTAAAATGGAATTCCAATTGTTAATATGAAGAAGCTTTGACTATAAAAATAATGAAAAAATTGGGGATCAAATTGCCTATTTTTAAAATTCAAGGACAAACTATTGTTGAAGCAATAGTTCGGGAACCAATTTTGAGATTTTGCCTAACTGAAATAATATATTATTTTGGGATTTGAAAGCAAAAAAGAGGATTGGGGTGGAGTGGGGCCCACCAAAATCCTCCGAAGAGATTCATGTGATGTCAGCAATGGTGCCTTTTCTTTGTTGGTGTGAAATCATGTGCGTTTACCATATCTTGAGCAGGTGGTGGTGCAAAGAGAGGCCATTTTCTTTTGATTTTCTTTCAAGATTTGCTTCCCATGCCCATGTATTGTGTGCCCCATCAATCTTATCATTCATCTATGTGTATGCATGTCTTCAAATTATTCTCCTACTTAATATTTTCGACGCTAATAATGTCGTAACATGATAACGATGTTGTTTGAGGAAAAATTAAAAGACTTTCATTCATAAAAGTGATGTGCCGGCTCTTTTACGAACCTTGATCCATTATCGACCAAATCATCTGAGCTCTTTTGATTACTTTACCGTCCATCTAAACAATCAGAATTTGACTTTCATAATTTTCAAATTCATACTACATTCAATATGAAACGTGTGATGGTTTACAAGTAGAATGTGTTAGAAGAAGGAATGATAAAATTGAAACTTCATTAAATATGATAGTTAATGAGAATTTAGTTATTTTAAGTCTCCCTCGTAATAAAACAAATAACATGGTTTAAAATCATTCGAGTTAAGTTTTTTTCCAAATGTTTTTAATCGATCGTGCATATAAAAGTCTTTAGTGTAGAAAAGCAAATTATCTCTTTGGAGAATCTTCTTTTACTTTGAATTTAACATTTGCTTTAATGTGGATTTCAAGATTTACCGGCAAAGTTATGACCCGTTTTAATGTGTCACAATGTCTTAAAAGGCGCATTTTGAATCCTAGGCACGAAACAACCATCAAACCACATTTTACAATTTTATTTTTTTTAAAATTAAGCCTTGCATAGGACCTGTTAGACTCGTAAAAACTTGAAAATTGATACTAAGAATTAATCATGTTTTACGCTTTTTAGAACACGGTTATTTGTAGTTTGTACATCATGCTACTAAAAGTCATCTCGTAAAGATTTTTTTTTCATTCTATTTTCTTGTAGAGTATTTCAATTTTTCATACCTTTTATATTTGGCTCATATTTATAAATTATTTACATAATTCATTTTTGATCCACACATTTCAAATAAGTCACGATACTAGCTACATATTCACCACTCATTTTTTCTAATTATAATTTCAACGGTTAATAAGCACTCCCTAAATGTGAAAGATTTAACATTCGCTATGAACCCACTAATCGACGTAGCAACAAACTAAGTCCATGTTTTAAAATTGTTTACAGTCTGTCGAATTTATTTTTATCCATACGTTTTCTAATTCTTACGAACACTACCTACTTAATCATCGTTTTTTTTTCTTTTATTCATAAAGTAAACCAATTATAAACAACTCTCAAACATACGCTAAATAAGCAAGAGAAAAAAAAATTAAAGTACTCGATTTTAAAGTTGCTCGGAATAAAAAAAAATTATTTCTTGTTCTTCATGAGGAAAAAAAAAAATAATAAAGCTAGCATTATTGTGGTCAATATTTGATTATTGAATTTTTGAATGATTATTGTAACGTTGTCTTAATGCAAAAATCAAGAGCACTAATTAAGTGGTTTGATTTGAATTTGACCATCTAGAAAAAAGCAATGTCTTTTGTAATTTATTGCATGGGTAATGACTAAACTAAATGAACATAAAGATTTGTTCACATTTGCTTAATTTGTGGTGATTTGTTGGGAAAACAAAGACAAATTTGATTGACCCTAATTATATTTACTCGTGCAAGATTGTAAGGTTAAAATCATTTTTAAAAGGGCCCATAAAAGATTCTTTAAGACCACCTCAATTATCACGGTTAAACACGTTTGCTTGTTACACAATCTTGCTACTTAAAGGGGATAAGTAAAATTGACAAATCAATCGGCTATTTATTACATCAGTAAAGTTTACATATTTGACGCGTTAGGGAAAATAAGAGTAGTACAAAAAGCATTTCGACTAGACTTTGGAGATTTGACTACTCGACCTTATCGATTTTGTTAAATTATATTAAACTTCGTTTAAATCAAATAATGCGATGGACGAAAAGATCCATACCAATTCGACCAAGGTAACCGTGTCGAATGTACATACCATTGTCAATAATGATGAACATCGATCGAACTCTAGTTACATCAATTGATGCAATGAACCATCCATGCAACATGAAAATGAAAATGATAGTACAATACTCCAAAGTCCAACCTAATCCCAATATATATGGACAACTACATTTTCATTATAAATCTGTACAAATGGACCACAAGATGATGCATGTAGACGACTTTACAACTTACAATGAACTGCCATATAGAAGGTTTAGTAAAGATAACATTTAAGGTCTGTTTTAGGGTACTCCCTTCTTTTTAGGATTCTCAGTAGATTTGTCCACTCAATAGAGACACTACATGTTTTTCTTTCAATTTTTCATTATTGCCTTCTCCCCCACAGCTATGTGCTAAAATTCTGGTTAAGTTGTCCCTAAACTTTAAGTGTAGCTCGTAAAAGGTCCCTCAACTTTAAACTGTAAAAATTGATTAGTCATACAGGACCGATTTACAAGTCGGGCTGATACGTTCTACCTAAAAAAATTCAGTGGGCTGAGAGCTCGGCCCAATCCCCCTTACATCTGTCCCTGCAGTCACCCAACTTTAAAAAAGATTTGAAACGCTAGGGTACTGTCCCTTCATTTTTAGGACAAGAACACCAACCTTGTAGGATTCTCACTAGATTTGTCCACCCAGCTCAAATCTTACATGTTTTTTTCTTTCAATTTTCATTATTGTCTACTCCCAAACTATGGGTTAAAATTCTGGTTAAGTCGTCCCTAAACTTTACCCGTAGCTCGTAAAAGGTCCCTCAACTTTAAAACTGTAAAAAATGAGTCTCCTAACTTAAGAAAGGAATTGAACCTTTAGGGTACTGTCCCTACATTTTTAGGACAAGAACACCAGCCTTGTAGGATTCTCAGTAGATTTGTCCACCCAACACAAACCCTACATGTTTCACTGTCAAACCTTCATTATTATTTTGACCCTACAATTAATTTCAAGATATTCAGACATAACCCTTGATTCTGGTTTCTCGTGCTTGTACTACGAATGATGACTGAATGGCCACGTTTAAGCCTTTCAAGAAAGGAAATTAAAAAAAAAAATCAATCTTGCTACGGTGCCAGATAAGTTAATAAAAAAATTGACATAATGTCACATGACGTTATATCATAGGACTGTTTAAAACAAAGTCAGCTTTGTTATCCAACCATTCAAGAAATAGAGTTGCCCCACTTTGATTTTAAAA